CTCTTCGGCCTCTTCTTGGATCTGTCGCAATTTGCGCTTGTGTCCTCGGCTTTCTGCACGCACAGGGTGTCTCATCTGCTTCTCTGCCTCACGCCGGGCCTGTCTTTCTGCCTGGATGTGTGCGCGATAGCGGGCCTCGAGGTCCCATCTTGCTCGGATGTGGAGGTAGATCACATAGGCCGCTAGGAGCCAGAGGAGGATATTGCCAATGGCAAGGAAGACTTCAAAGGGCTTTGGCACTGTATTTGCCCGAGCGATTGTCTGCGATGAAGGTCGCTGAGGGGATCCAAGGACGGTGCTCATTGTATATTTTAGCCGAACACTTGATGGCACAAGCGAGGACGTCGGTGACAACTGGTTTTGTGTGGATTTGTGGATGTTTTGAGTCTGAAATGAACCAAGTTTCTATCTGAGAGTATGGTGCCTTTTCCCAACCTATCCGAGACAGCAAGATTCGTTATCTTTTGTTTGTTGGTAGGTGGGTGCAAGGGATACAAATATACGTTCCTGAAGACCTGTTTGTCGATGGTCAGAATCGAGAATTTTAAACAAACGCAAGCAACGAAACGTTCACGTTCACGGTGATCCACGGAAACGGACGGAAGGAGATATGCAATCGACAGAATCAAGTAGGCATGTTTGATTTTACGACAGGGGTGAGCTATGAGTTGGTGTTGTCGTTGAGGATTGAGTCCTGTACCGAGAGAGCGACAAACAGATCAACCAGACATACATGTCAACTCTGGATAAACAGTAGGACGAGAGAGAGAGAGAGACAGGCAGGCAGTCAGGCAGTCAGGCATATGTACACCTATCGTTCTCTCTATCGTGCTGTCCTTGGAAGGAATGGCCCCATAGCGGTGGCGACAGTGACCTTCTCACGTGCTGCCAGTCTGTCAGCGACAACTCGTCGCTCTCCTATGTACAAATGCAAAATCGCGGCCATGATGCATTTGTCGGCTCGCTAAACCACTCCCCTCCACGCCGAATCTGGCGGTCCTGAGCACAGACAGCTGGCTAGACTCTTCAACAAAGACATCGACAGCAACAGCGATAGCGACGCTAATCCATCATTTACTGACATAGATCTATCAAGGCCTCAATCAGGGATCTCATGCCTCCAATTAGCTTCAGCTAGAAGCATTGATGGAGGCAGAGGCAGCGATAACAGAGCTCGTCGTCTTCTGGCCTCCGAAAATCCAGCTCGCGCTCAGAGTGCCTTTGTCGGTTCGTAAAATCCATCCCTCCCTTCCTTTCTTGAATTTTTTTGTGAGGGCGGACACCTGGACGACACAGGGGGGTTGTACATAACACAGGTGCATGCTGTTGTCTCCTCGCGAAAGTGAAGCATGTTGTCCATCCCACCTTTGTTGGCTCGCAGACTCACTCCCAGCAGGTCTGATCTTGCTTGAGCAACATGCTTCTTGAGTCTTTGCCTCTTTGATCTTGTCCCTCGTCTAATTGCGAAAATACAACGCTGGGAGGCCAGCCAGACTATCTTCATCTTACGGAATTGGAAGTCTGTTTATTTCTTCATTTCGGTGCCCCTGACTCTCAGGGGCACTGCTTTTATCTATCTGTGCGGAAAATGAAGCATGTTGTTCCATCACCTTTGTCGATCCACGGGAGAGGGATACTCAAGTTGAGGTGTCTTGGGACTCATGAAGCAGATGGTGTCCATGGACATGTTGTCAAGACGATTGTCGCTTCGATGCGAAATCGAGATGAGTTGATATTTAGCTTTTTCGATGCGTGAGAAAAGTCTCATAATGGGATGGTGCGCGGTCAGAGAGCTGACATCCTTCAAAAGCGACACAAGTCAAGAGGCTCCGTCGATCTACAATGTCTATATCAGGAGGTTTCAGTGAAGGGAGGTGGGTATCCGAACCATGCACCAGGATCGTCTGTCCTACAGAATCGACACAGGTTGAAATGCTTCATCGATCTACGATGTCTATCTGAGGAAGTGTGTGTCAGCGAAGGGAAGTAGGTGTCCAAACTATGCACCAGGATTGTCTATCCTGCAAAAGTGAGACAGGCTCAGAAGCTTCGTCGATTCACGACATCTGCACGAGGCAGTGTCAGCCGCCTCGCGAATTCGAGGCATGTTGAGTCTGTGCCTTTGCCGACTGGTGAAAAGCTTTATTTCTTCGGAATTTGGAAAGTTTGACGGGCGCCCGCCTCGTCAGCGTGGCGTGTTGGACGCCCGTGATTCCTGCAGAAATCCACAGCCTGTTTTTTTGGCCCTCGTTACCTTGTCGATTCGCGAGAATTCAGGTATCGAGCTAGTCGTGTTGACCCAGGCGCAATTCACCGGAGGTGCTCACAAGTCCCCCTTTGGACACAGAGATGGCTGCTGTGTAGAGTGGTACAAGGTACTCAGACAGAATGGTCCAACTGGTATGATGAATGGGGCGGAAGAGTAGGGAATGAGAAAGGTCAGGGAAGTCTTCTAGTAGTCGTAATTGATGTTGAGATTTCTATATACGGTAGCCCCATGCTTCTTGAATGGCGGCACATGGCAGATGTTGTCCTTCCTCGTAGCCACATCTTTGCTGCGTACCAAATGCCATGTATACGTGATGGGGAAAGATGACATGTATAGGCTGGCTCTTGAGGATGTTATCCACAAAGACTCCATCCCATTCATTCACCACAACAATTCATGATGCCACTTCGCGGCAAAAAGGTCAAGCGCGTCCACAAAGCTGGTTACACTTGACTCCGTTAGCATGATGTTGAGCGCGATAAACCCCCTGGGGGCAATGTAGAAGCCTCGCTCCAGCATCCAGAAATAGAAGAGCTCCTGGAAGTCAGCGGCCGCGGGACCCGCGAATTGGATGGTCAAGAGACTTCCCTTGCCCTTGACGAACATCTTCGGCGGCCGCTGCGGGTGGTCTGCAGTGTGCATGTCGTCTGTCACTGGGCTAGACGGGATCGTACATCCTTGCAAGACGCCGTGGTTAGACAGTACAGTCTCAATCGCCATCCTCATGCCGTCGCCCAGCGCGTTCAACTCGTTGATCCTCTCTTGATCCAAGAGTTTGCAGCCCGCCACACCAGCACTCATCGTGAAGCAGTTGTTATTGTAGGTGCCTGGGTGCTGAAGTGCGCCGTCGCGCGGATCATACATTTGCATAATGTCCCTCCTGCCCCCGAACGCTCCAAAGCTCATTCCACCGCCGACCCACTTGCCGAGTGTCATTAGGTCTGGTGTGACGCCCGTCTGGCTACCGAGGCCGTGGTAGTGAAGACGCGAAGTCATGACTTCGTCGAAGATCAGGAGCGCCCCGTGGTCGGTCGCCAGACGGCGGAGCGTGGACAGGAATTCGCTGCTTGCGAGGTAACAACCCCCCGACCCGAGCATGGGTTCTAGTAAAATCCCGGCGAGTGAATCCTTGGGCAGAGATTTGATGAGCGATTCAGTGCCTTGGACGTCGTTGTATGTGCCGACGATGAAGTCGTGTGGGAGGTTGATGGATGGCTTGTTCGAGGCAGTTCGTCCTGAAATTGTCGACCCGTGATATCCTGGAGTTGGAAGCGGTCAAAAAAAGGCTCCGATGCGGAAGAGCGCAGGCCTTACCTTTATTAAATATGAGGATCTTCTTCTTTCCAGTGAAAGCCAGTGCAGTAGCAAGTGCCATCATATTGGCTTCTGTGCCCGAGTTGACGAACCTGACCAGCTCGATTGCAGGAAACCGCTCGCATACAATTTTTGCCAGTTCCGGCTCCTGCTTGCTACAACCTCCATAATTCCAGCCACCCTGCACTGCGTTCTCTATCGCCTGTCTTATCACAGGATGGTTGTGTCCGTATATGCCTGCAGTATACTCGCCCAGCAAATCGGTATAGCGCCTCCCATCGACGGTTGTCAAGTAACACTCGTGTCCATGGTCGATGGTCAACGGAAAGGGATCCAAGTGTAGCACTGTCCGCGTATTCCCGCCTGGCATGTATTTGCAGGCCTCCTCATGATATTGACGAGACTTGGGGTTCGCGGCCGCGTATCCCTTTCTGAAAGAAATGAGGGTGTCACGGAGTGTCGGTCCCATGGTGTAGAGAATTCAGTAGCGTAGCTTGACCTCCTGATCACGACAAAGATGACTATTGCGCGGCTGTAAACAAAGGCGTCAGGTTGGTTGTCTCAATCGAGAGTCATCCTCGAGTATGCATTCACGATATCTTTCTTCGATGACTGACCCTACCGCCCTGTGACCAGCCGATAAACTGAGGACATCTCCATTATTGGCTGAATCTCGGCATCCACCGAGCTGTCGAAACTCCCTCGTTCCATTGGGCAGAATATGTAAGAGGTACCGAGTAGCTGGTCACAGTCAGCATTCATGTTCAAAGGCGGGGCACACCTAGGATCTATGGAGTGTTCAAACTGCCACACTGCCTTGGGAACAAAGTGTTGTTTGAGAGAATGTTAACGAGAAGTTCATACTGCCATTGAACGGTTGGCGACAGAGGGCTGAATGTTGTTCCTAAAGGAGTCAATGGTGGGTGCGGGATGACCTGAGCAAGCCCTAGAAGGAGTGCCACTTGGTACTTGTCGAATAATAGTCAAGTATTGCCTTTGCGAAACCAGTTGGCGATGTGTTTAGACGGACATGTTGCGCCTGCAGGAAAAATTAGCCAGACAATCAAGGCATTTTGAATCCAGCCAGGAGACGATGACGCTGCACGCTGCGTGGGCACTGGCACTGCCATTGACATTGACAACTTTCGCTCCTTTCTTTTCCCATTGCGAAATGCACTCCCACTCTCACGGCTCACTTCCAAAAAGAAGGTCACGAATCCTCTACCAACAGCGTATCTATCCTAGTGTTTGTCAAGCTCTCTCTAGGCCTTCGTTTAACTAATGGGCATGACAGTGTAATATCTTGGATATCTAGCCACAAACGGATTTCCCCTGCCCCTCTCCTCCACCACCTTCTGAGCCCCCAGGGCCCCCGTAGCCACAGAGCCAAGCAAGTCCAAGTCCCGCTGAGCCAACAATGAGCTTCTCAGCAAGACGAGTTTCGACCCTCAGGTCGGCCCTGCACGCGAGCCAAGATGGTCGCCGCTTCTCCATCCATCCTGAAGATGAAAACGTCTCTGCTCCGCACCGAACCCTCCGGGACCACCCAAGTCACAAGCCACATGCTGCGCTTGACAGCTCAAGAGCTTCGACTGGTGTCATATGGTGAGTGACCACGATCGTCTTTCCCCACAAGTTGATGTCTGACGTCGAGAAAGGACCACCGAACAAGCAGCGCGCCATGGCTTTCTCGAGGAGCCGCAGAAGTGGGCCAATCTAGGTCAAGGTGCGCCTGAAGTCGACGATGATATTGTGAGTGCCATTCAACATCTTGTCGGCCATCCCTATCAGCAACGACAATGAATTAGGCTTGCTCAGGTACTGATATGACATGACCGCAGGACGGCTGTTTTCCTCGCCCAACTTCGATCCCACTGACCAACCATGGACGAGAATATGGGCCAACGGCTGGCATCAAGCCTCTTCGAGCCGCCGTTGCAAAGTTATATAGTACGTTCCCCCTTCAGACCTCGTCAGTTCAAGGCTGTGATGCGCAGACACCTTCTCTCAATCAATTCTGCACTGATGCTAATCTGAGGGTACGCGAAGATGACAACTACCGCCAGGGCAAAGAGAGCCAGTACTCGTGGGAGAATGTGTGCATTGTGCCAGGAGGAAGAGCAGGTTTGATCAGAATCGCTGCTGTATTGGGCAATGCGTATCTCGGCTTTTTCATTCCCGATTATACGGCCTACAACGAGGTAACGATGTTGGAATGAAGTCGAATCCATGCAGCACGAGTTAACGTTCCTTCACAGATGTTGTCGCTATTTCGCAACTTCGTTGCTATACCCACGCCTCTCTCTGCTGCTGACGGGTACCATATGTAAGTCTGCGCGAAATAGAGTCCGTCTGTTACAGGAGGCATCTGAATCTAACAATGACCTAGCCATGCCGACAAAATCGCCGACGAGCTGGCGCGCGGTACCAGTGTCATCTTAACCTCGAATCCTCGTAACCCAACCGGCCATGCTTTGGTTCCCGAAGAGCTCGCCCTGATCCAAGATATTTGCCGGGACAGAGCAACATTGATCTTTGATGAGTTTTACGCTGGTTACAGGTAATGATGGCTTGAATCCCACACTTGCATTGAGAATGCATTGCTCCTTGAAATTCGGTCTTTTCCGAAAATGAATCTTTATCGCTGACGGATATCAGATACGACTCCAACTGCGATGGGAGCACCATCTCTGCTGCGTCTAATGTTGTAAGTACCACCTTTGACATAAGGTCGATGTTGATGACAAGAAATTTATTCACAAGTGGTTGACAGATTGACGTTGATCGGGACGACGTGATCTTAATTGACGGTCTCACAAAACGCTTCAGACTCCCGTAAGTCTCCCGAGAACCTGTACTAGGCTTGAAGGCTACAATGCTCTACCATTCCCGAAACCACCTTCGAGTGCTAATGTCAAAATCAGAGGCTGGCGCGTCGCTTGGATTGTTGGTCCGAAGGAATTTATCAAGGCGCTCAGCTCAAGTGGAAGCTATCTCGATGGTGGCTGCAATGTACCATTTCAAGAGGCTGCCGTTCCGATGCTCGATCCTCGTGAGTTTACCTGATCTGATGACCGAAACGAAAATATAGGCTTAGCCTTTCGTCATGAACGTGTTCTACGACTTCACTAACATGTATGTAACAAAAGCGAAAGTCAAAGCTGAAATGAAAGCCCTTCAAAGTCACTTCAAGATGAAACGAGACTACGTCCTGAAGAGACTCGAAGAAATCGGATTCAGATGGGGCGACCAGAACATTCCGCAGTCGACCTTTTACATATGGTTGGATTTGGCGTCGCTGGAACCTCCCTTGCCAAAGAACAGCCCGATTGACATCTCTAACGGACTGTCATTCTTTGACGCACTGGTACGATCCCTGCTTGCTTGGACACTGTTTCCCGTCTTGTAAAACCATTGCTGTGATATCTGTCCTAGTTCTTACTGGCTAACGGATGACGGCAGCTCCAAGAGCGAACTATCGTAGTCCCGGGAATCTTCTTCGACCTCAACCCAGCCAAGCGACGCGATCTCTTCGATAGTCCTTGCCATCACTTCGTTCGTATTAGCTATGGTCCCAAGATGGAACAGCTGAAGATGGGGATGGACGGAATTGAGAGAGTGGTCAAGCGTGCGAGAGGAGAGTTCGGAGAATTTGACACCGCTATTCACGATGAGCCTGAGAGCAAGAGCCCTGGCAGCCCGATTCAATTCTGGAAAGGTCAGGGTCAGGGCGAACGCTTTCAATGACTGAGTTGATGAGACAAGAGATCGCAAAATGGGTTTTAGGCGTGGTACATTCAGAGGTACAGCTAGGAATCAGATGTGCCATGGTCCCTCCAACGCCCTTGTCCTGACTAAATTCTGGCATAACATTTATGGTTGATCGACAAGATGAAAAAAAAGCAGCTTGCTCCAACACATTAGTTCTCATTTTTCTCCCATTTTCCGTCATAACCTGGCAAGGCCTCCGGCGTCGGGCAATTCGGGGAGCTTTGGTAGTTTCGGTAACTTTGGTAGTTTGGGGACTTTCGGTAACAACTTGGGAAGCTTGGGTTTGGGCAGCTTGACTTTTGGCAGCGATAAATCAAGCCCTGACGATCAATTCCTTCGTTAGCCTTTAGGACCAAATTGTCCATACAATCGGGGTTTGGGGGATCAAACTCACAGTAGTGCCAATGTCAGGTCACCGTGGATGCTGGCCTTGAGCTCAATTTCAATGTCGAGGTTCAATTCCAATCGGAGTTTCAAGCCACTGTGCTTCCGCGTTAGTCCTGTGGACATGTTTTCACCCGTAACACGGTGTTTTGAGATACGTACTCTTGGTCCATGGGATCTTTCCCGCTGCTATCCTTTGCATCGATGGGTCGTGCAGTTTCTAGGGGCTGAGAGGGTGGAGGACCTCGCCATGGGATTTCCCCACGGATCATGCGTGCGTATGTTACTGGGCCTGCCATGGACTGCGAAGGCGGCTTGATCCGTTCGAACGGCTGGAACTCTGTGATATCCCGCTGCCAATGTTGTGAGCCTTGAGAACACAAACTCTTTGGGAAAGATGCCCTGGGCCTCAGCAGGTACTTACAGGATCGGGGTTTTGCAGCCACTGCGGATTTTGCTGCTGTTCACTTGGGTGAGCTTGTGTCGGCTGTGCCCGTCTTGCGACTTGCTGCTGCTGCTGCTGCTGCTGCTGCTGCTGCTGGGGTTCTGGCCCTTCGTCGATTGACGCCATGGATTTTGCAGAAGCATTTCCCGCCTGAGCTCGGGATTGGGCTTGCCTCTGTCGTTGATTTTGTCGTCTCCGTCGTCGGGACTGAGATCTGGAGCGTGATTCGTAACCCTGGTCGTCCGCGCTCGTCGTCGACTGATCAGAGTTGCTGCGTTCTAGCCCCGGCCGACTCGGCTTCTTTCCCCCAGGCGTATTCTCGGGTGTGGGTGTTTGCTGTGGCTCCGACATAGTGACCACAAGGAGATGGAAGAGGGAGACAAGTCACGGAAAGGAAAGGACGGACTTTTAGCAGATATGGAAAGAGGAAAGGGTGGGTGTTCAAGAGGGAGAGATTGAGATTAGAGCCAGAAGGAAACTGGTACGGGGAGCAGGGTTGGTGTTGAAACGAGGGAGAACGAGGTCGGAAAAAGGCATTCGGGGAAAGAGGCTGCAACAACGACATCATCGTGACCAGGGTCTGATTTTCCCCAGACCGGTTCTGGGTCGACCTACCTCAGGGCCTGCGTTTCCGTGCTTGAAGCAGCGGGATTGTGTGTGCCATGATCGAAGATGCAGACGTCCCCAATGAAGATCGATCTGTACTCTTGACCAAGATTTTGGGCAGAAGATGCGCATTGATCAGGCCCGGCCAGGAATTCGATACTTGGAAGAATCCCGGTCAGCGGGCCCGATGACATGTGGCGCCAGCACGTATCATTGGTCGCAGAAAAGCCAAGGCGTAACGTGGTGGCGGGGCGGACCTGTGGCGTTGGTGTGGCGCCCCACCATCTCCACGATGTCCGATGCAGGATGACGCAAAGGCTGTTCGACTCGTGCAATCCGTCTCCCTCAATCAGCAACCAACACCTTTCCCCTTGGGTGCCCCTCTTTAGGCCCTTCAACAATGACAAAAGTATGAAGTAGTAGCCTTGTTATTGCACAAACTTCACAACTCCTGGAAGGCAAAGATTGACCCGTTATGGCTGAGGCCAGAACCACTAACGGCCTGAAAGGCATCAGACAAGCCTTGCTCTGCCACTACAACCACGAACATGCTCCGGTCTGTAAAGAGATCATCTCCATGCACAGGGTGACATCAATATCGCCGATTGAGGATAGGTCTGCGGTCAACGTGGTCTGTGCGTTTCCTCATTTGTATTTACGCCTCACTCCAGTATCCTGCCATGATCCCTGCCCACAACAGCCACAGTGCTGGCATCGTGATCCTCCTTTGCAATTATTGGCCAGCCAATTTGCGGCCACCTAGCGGTCCTGGCCTTTTGCACATGCCAAACCCTGTTCCCCAAGCCCCCGTTGCTGACTCTGTCGCCGATCTGTGGCGTTACACACACCCCCTCCCTCAAAAGCAGCAACGTTCGACGTCATGGGCGTGCGTGTAGAGGCACACGCGATGTAGGTCACTACTCAAGTCGTCTACGTCCTGACGTCTTGTGTGGGGTTGAAACTATGAAAAATTGCCAGCGGTGTGGTCAACCTTGATTCTCTCCCCCCGGACAATAGTCCTGGTCGTCATACGTCGAGGCCCTCTTTTTGTCCCTGTCCTCCTCTTCATCATCATCCTTCCTTGCACATCTTCCTTCTCAATCTCCCACCATGTCGTCCGAACAAGAGACGAAGAGCACTGAAGAAACCCAAATCGGCGGAAACCTCGACGCTGCTGGCTCTGCTTCAGGAGCTGCAAACATCGGAGCAAACGCTTCCTCCAAGAAGTCTGAAGAGAGACGAAAGCCCAAAAAACTAGGCCAGAAAGGTCAAGCGAACGGTGAAAAAGCAGACGGCGAAGGCGACGCAGACGGACCAGAAGAATCTCCAACACCACAACCAAAGATGGAGCCGCAGACATCAGCATCAGCATCTGCCCGCTCCGGTTCTCGACGAGGGAGCCGGGGTCGCGGTCGAGACTCGAGCGAACCCCCCAGTGAGGTTGACAGCGCATATCGAAGCGACGTCTCCCAGAAAGGCGGACGACGGAACCGAAACCGGAACAGAGGCAAGGCCCAGGCCCAAACACAGCAGCAGGGGAAGGGCGGCCTCCTCGGCGGAGGCGGCGGGCCCCTTGATGCAGTTGACGAGGTCGGCGACACGGTGAATGGCGTCGTTGACGGCGCCGGAAACCTCGTGAACGACACTGTCGGCAAAACCTTGAGCAAGCCCCACGAAGCTCTTGGAGGACTGCTGCACAGCAAAGGCGGCAAGGAAGGGGAGGGAGAAGAAGATGACGGCGAAACCAACGAACAATTGAGATTAAGACTCGATCTTAACCTAGACATTGAAGTCCAACTGAAGGCCAAAATTCATGGCGATTTGACCCTTGGCTTATTGTCAGTCAATCATCCATTCCACTGCGCGAATGCTAACGTCTCACAGGAACTAGTGCATGACCTCGATTCGACACCACCCCCTACCTCCCCTTCAAAATACCTCTACCAGCACAGCCATTACAACGAATTAGCACAACACTTGGGGAAGCTCGAGCAGGGGCATTGGTCATGTGTTGTTGTGTTTGGTTAGCTTCATTGTCAGATCGTATCATGGCGTCCCAATTTTTTTTTGACTTGTCCTGGATGATGGCGAGATAGGATGTCTGTGTATGTAATAAAAAGAATTGACGACCCAATTCTGTAGAGATTGTTCTGGTTGTATCTATACCTGGTGATGTCGAAATCCCGTGTATGCATACATATCCATCAGCCGTTTCCTGATGCTATGACGTTGGAGCGAGCAGCCCGTTGCCAAGCCTCTCCATTGTCCTTTTCACCCTCACAATCCCGCGTGATTGTGGATCGCATCACATATTAAAAGACGAAGCTGTTCGAATGCTATATCGCATTGGATTCCGAAGCTTGAGCAGACATTACCTTTTCTCCTCCGCCTTTCGAAGATGTCTCGCTCAGCCACGTGGGTTGAACGCCCTGCGCTGGAGTTCATCTCAGCCGCTCCCTCGCGGCCGGTCGTCCTCTGCGCCAGTCCCTGATCTAGATGAATGGTCTACACGAGCAAGCCAGCACACGACCTCCGATACAATATATGCACTATCTACTGCCTCAGGCCGAGCTGCTATAGCCGTTATCCGCATCTCCGGCCCGGCATGTTTGCAGATTTATCAACAGCTCTGCCCGAATCGCGGACTCCCTAGACCTCGCACCGCGGCGCTACGAAAGCTCTACGATCCCGAAACCGCACGATCCTCAGATCCCCGAGTCCTTGATACTGGCTCATTGGTCCTATACTTCCCTGCGCCCAACACGGTGACCGGCGAGGATGTACTGGAGTTCCACGTCCACGGTGGCCCCGCCATTGTTCGCTCGGTGTTGGCCGCCATAGCGAGATGTGGGCACTTGATGCACGGAAGAGAAGGAACAGTGAGACATGCCGAACCTGGCGAGTTCACAAAATGGGCATTCTACAATGGAAGATTGGATCTCACCCAGGCTGAAGCCCTGGGCGAGAGCCTCGCAGCCGAGACCGAACAACAGCGGCGATTAGCTGTCAGCGGCGCAGATGGCGGACTCGCGAAACGATACGAAGAATGGCGTACCATGTTGCTATATGCTCGAGGGGAGCTAGAGGCTCTGATCGACTTCTCGGAGGACCAACATTTCGATGAGTCGCCAGTCGAGTTTGTGGCCTCGATCTCGAAGCAGGTCAAAGCACTGAAGAGACAAATTGAGCTTCACCTTCAGAATGCCTCAAAAGGGGAACTGCTGCGCAATGGCATCAACGTAGCTTTCCTGGGGGCACCAAACGCGGGCAAGAGTTCCTTGCTCAACCAGATCGTTGGACGAGAGGCTGCAATCGTCAGCGCCGAAGAAGGGACCACTCGAGACATTGTCGACGTGTCGATCGATCTCAATGGTTGGCTATGCAGACTTGGTGACATGGCCGGACTCCGCGCCACTGGCACTGTCGGCGAGCAGCAGCAGCAGCAACTTGTCGGCGCCGTGGAACTCGAAGGCATCCGTCGAGCACGAGAGCGGGCCCTACAATCGGACGTTGTTCTGGTTCTATTGCCCGTCGAAATGGATAAAGATGGGAACCCGCAAGTCCCTGTCAACGGAGAAGTACTTGAGGCTGTGCAACAATGCGATGCTGCCGGCAAGATTATTCTCGTTGTTCTAAATAAGATTGACCTGCTCGGCATGCATGATGATCCAAGACAAGAAGGCATGATAGCCTTGCAGACACGGATCCATCAGATATTCCCAACTGTCCCTGAACGACGGATTTGCTTGGTATCCTGCAAAGATGCAACAACCAACGTGGTCGGCTCCGATCCAGGTGGGATCCAAGCATTCCTCAAACAACTAACCAGCTCATTCATGGAGTTGACGACACCGTCAGCCAGCGAAGACATTGCGGAAGCGCGACTGACTGCGGCAGAAGCGCAGTCCTACTGGACCACGTCCCTTTCAGTCACGCATCGGCAGACCACGTACCTCTCGCAGTGCTTACATCATCTCGAGGACTTCCTTGCCCAGAGCCAGTCACGGCCGCAATCTCACCTGCAGATGGATACCCCGGAATTCTCCGATTCGCCTGATTCTGCCACTGATTACCGCACTGATCGCCACAATGACCTTGTTGCTCCAAATATAGCACAGGTCGTTGGAGATGGGGATACAGATGGTGCAGTCGATATCGTGACTGCAGCGGAACATCTCCGTTTCGCCGCCGACTGCCTCGCCAAAATCACGGGCAAGGGAGGATCCGGTGATGTGGAGGACATCCTTGGAGTCGTCTTCGAAAAGTGAGTGACCATTTTCTTTTCTCAGTGACTGTTTATTGCGGTTAGTTTCCATTCCAATGGGCAATCGCTGTCCGAAAAGGGTCTTGATGGTTCAAAACAACGACATTTCGTGGTCGCACTCTGGTTCTGGGGTATCTATCTCCCGATCTGTCTGCATAAATTCTGGGGCTTCGTCTGGCCTCGAATCCGTCCTGTTGGTCCATACTTTGGGCTAGCTGTGCCCATTCAAGCTCCCTATTCCCTTCCAAGTCTCCAAAAGAATGTGGGACTATATCCAAAAGAAAGACTGCAAAAAAGAAAAACACCCAATGCCAAGAACTGCCCCCTAAGCAAAGCCCCTTCCTGAATTCCATTAATATCCCATATGTGCCTGAAACTCCTGAATGTCGTCAAACAATTTTGGCGGTCCTGCGCCTTGTTTCCAAATTATGCTTCCCAATTATGCTGCCCGAGCAAAAAGTGGTGGGATGATATACCGAATCGAGAAAAGAAAAGAAAAAAAAAACTCCGAGAAATGCCGCTAAGTGTCGATGACGGATATGTGCAGATTGCTGAGCTTTTTGTGTTGTACAGGTTCTGCGTGGGAAAATGAAGCCGTCGAGAGAGAATCACATGCTCGTCAAGAGCTGGGATAATGTCGAAAGAGTGGAAAGTGATCGAAGCCGGGATCACGCAAGTCAAGCGTCACATGTCGAAGGAATGGGTGGAGCGATGGAACACGGTTCCTGATATGGGGTCGTCGTCTCGGCGGAAAGGGAATCTTCGGGACGATTCAGTTGTATCCGCCACGACCTTGGGCAGCCTGCTGTCGATTGTATCCACCGCGACCTTGGACGACGGGGATCCTGTTGTATCCTCCACGGCCCTGTCTGTTGTAACCCCCGCGGCCTTTTTGGGGAGCAGCCGGGGTGTTGTATCCGCCTCGTCCGAGAGCCATTGTGATCGCGAGTGTGGTTGGGATGAAAAACACGAGGAAATAAATGGTTGCTTTGAGATTTGGGGCTTGAAATGAAGTTTGGTCGAGGGCGCTGGGCTCTGCGATAATGTATGGGTGTCGCAGACAAGTGGCGCGCAATCCAATAGATAAAGAGACAAAAGACAACAAGGAAATAGATGAGATGGGGCTTGGGCTTTTGGTTTCTGCTTTTTGTCGATGGGACTGGTGTTGTAGTTGTACTTCAGGACGACTGGAAAGAAAAAAACAGAAATAAGGAAAGTATGGTGTATACCTCAAATCTGGGTTTGGCTGTGTAGGTGTGCGTGTGTGTGTGTGTGTGTTGAACTGGAAACTCTGGCAATGCGCGGACAAAGGAAAGAGATTAAGAAAATAATGAGAAATGGGTTTTTTTGCTTATGAAGGAATGTGTGTGTTGATGTGTGATGGGAATGAAATATTCGACACCTCTGAGGGGGGGATGAGAAACGAGATATATATCTTTGTGGGATGTGGTGTGTGGTAATGTGTATGGTGTAAGAAGCCAGCGACCCACGTAGATGGGCCCGACGAGGAAACGGGTTAGAGTGGTGGTACACGATCAGTGAACCCTTTGGACGGATGTGACAGATCCCAGGGTTCCTGACCGCGATGAGGTAAATTTGGGGGCTGATGCTAAGTCCACACTCACCGTACTCGTACAGTAGCAGTAGTAGTAGCAGGTGGGCTGCGAGATTCGCCTGTGAGATGATGGGGGGATCCATTCAACGCATGACCGAAAGAAGGGAGAGGGAAACAGGCGACCAAAGTTCCCCTGGAGGTCTTGGGTCATCGTATTCCACCTTTTTCCCTCCCCGACCCAGCCATGCTCGTAGGGCTGACGGATTCTACTAGGAAATGGACTTTTGAAAGAAAAAAAAAAAAGAACCCAGAGTGGGAAAAAAATGGAGTCCGCAGCCTCAGGCAGCCACTGGGAGATCCTGATGGCCTTGTGGCCTTATCCTCGTGAAGGGTGAGCCCTGGGCTTTGCATTGCCCCCCTTGTCCCTGTCCCTGTCCCGTTTGCCGTCCCTGACACGAGGAAGGCCAAGCAAGGGTATGGAACCATTCAGATGGCACAAAGGGCGCGGGAGGCGTCATGTTACACTTCTCAGTGGGCAGTGAACAAGCGAAGGGGAAAGTCGGTCGCCAGAATCTTTGGGTTGGTGTGCTAAATTCAACGATGTGAGTCGACGGAAAGACGTGCGGCGTGGCTTTTAGGGCTGGCTAAGGCTGCAAAGACATGCATTAGCACGGATAGCTGAGTGTTGGGATAGGCCAACGGTGTAGCTTGAGTGGGGAGTTGATGGTGCTAGTGCTCACACTTTGGGTGGAAAAAGAGGTGGTAAGGAGAGGCTAGGCTATGAACGCACTAGATCATCTTGGCTGCCGAATCATCGTTTGCCCTCTGCGCACCCGTTCCCGCACAAACACATTCCCACCCATCACACACCAAGGCGCAGTTCAGGGAAGGAGGGAAATTCTCCTTTTGGACGAGGAAAGTGTCCCTTCCGGTCCCCCTCATCCAATCACTATCCTCATTATCGCGTCGTTCATGCGGTAGTATCTGGGTAGGTATCCCGTTACACTTGCCTCGAGTGGTCTGTACCGAGTACATGGATCATACTGGTCATTTCTCGCCCGTGTAGGCGACCAGACTAAAGAAAGGGAAATGCAACAGCAGACGGCAATTGAACCAGGATCCGTTGTTTCCATGACGTGCTTCCATAGGGGAAGGGGTGCAAGACTACTATGCGATACGCGAGTATCAGAGTCACAGACAATCTGGTCCACGCACCTTCCTGTATTGCAAAAGGCAACCATGCATTGGCGAGCTAGTAACGTGCGAACTTGGTCACCTCACCTCCCGTATATCCAACCACAAGTACAAGTCTATCTAAGAAAAGGAATGAGCACATGGACAGTCTCCACAGGCGATGTTAATGCCTCGAATGGACGATACCGGATGCATGATGTTCCGTGCTCTCAGCGAACCCACATGACGAATGGACCATGCATGTCTCTCTGGGCGACGAGCAGTTGGTGACGACAATGATGGCAACCACCACAAGTTCCCTTCCCCTCAATATTGTTGCACATGTGATGACTGACTCCTCACCGATATTCCCAATGTTCCCAACTGCGGCTGGGCGGGGCGCAGCGGGCCGGGACTGGATTAACCTTTGTTCCGACTGGCCTATTGTCTTCCTCAGCACGCTCACTCCGAATCAGGCAGATTTTGTTATAGACTTGCGAGGCAGACTCTCATAACCCCGTGTCCCTTTTGTCGGTCAATCGACTATTCGATGTTCTAGACCCGCCTGGCCTGACACCCCACTTGTCAACAGGAGATATCTCAGATCAGAGAGCCTAGGATACCACTTCCCTACCAGTGTGTTGATCCGTGGGGAATTCTCCGACAACGTGGGAAGTAAAAATAGAAACGCTCCCTCATCACCCGCTAAACTATGTTGAGACTAGCACCGTTTGATCCAGATTTCCAATTCGGGATTTTTCTCTGCCTGATGCGTGTCGATAATCGTCCTCGCTTCCTCTGATCAGTAACTCCCCGCGACGGATATCCTTACTCCGGCTAGTTCTGCGCGGGAGTCGCAACCGCCATAGTCACCTCGCGGCCTGACTTCGATGCGGCCTCCCCGACTCTTCCGGTGACTGAACATCATCTCATCGAAGACAGACTGGGCGGTCAACGACCATTACTATCTCTCTTTGAAAGATATCGGCCTTTGAGCTCATTTAGGTAAGTCATCGGAGTGGCCGACCGGCGGCGGAAGCTAGCCAATGACTACCTCTCTCTATGCCCCTCGACCACAAGGCTATCCTTCGCCCGAGTCATCTAAGTTTCTATATCGTTCATCGGGCATATGAATCCCTTGCTCAACCTCAGCCCGGCCCTTTTGGCACGAACAGTTGCTTTTTTCAGACTAGCTCTTTCATGAATTCCAGTCACAATTTGTCCTGTTCCAAGAGGGCCATATGTGACGGGGAGCAGCATCTCCCCGTGGCATTGACGGCGGAGCACCCAGGTCAACCTTGTTACCCCTTGTCATCCCTTGGTAGAGAGGTGAGAACAGCTCGGTATGAGGTCGATCCGGGTTGCAGCTCTACAACAAACCTACTCCGGATGCTGCCCATCCGAGGGCAACGGGGCCATAACGTCTTGTACTAATGTTGACTCGATGAAACTTCCCTGTGAGTGGACAATATCAAAACCTCAAATTCTATTCCGGCATGGCAGCGCTCTCAGCTGTGGAATCTAACAATCCCTCTGGGTCTGCCTGGGAGCTTCGAACGCCGCTTTCAGCTGTGACTGGTCGCTCTGCTGGCATCACATATGTCGCCGATGAGACCGGTCCAGGATCGCATATGGCATCGCCGACACGGCCTCCACTGAACGGTGCTCGGACCGTTCTCTCAGAGCATGCCACGAACTCCCCCACTGCCCCTGGCTGTGAGCACGGTGGCAGCAGTCAGCCTTCGCTTGTTTAGGGTTCAGACCACAGACGCCAGTGGGCCTCATCGTGGTGCCCCTGGGCATGATGGTCTAGGAACCCCGGCCGTGAGAACCGACTGTCCACTCACATGTGCGATCTCATCATCCCCGTTCAGCTTCAGCGACTGCGGCCCCCTGAGCCCCACACGACATCCAACGCTGTCGACATACTCGGTGTGAATATGCCGACGCATCACTCTAGAGACTCGTGGAGATCCTTGGAAGTGTTCAGAGTCAGGCTTTCTGATTGCGTAGGGGCTGTCTGTTCCGGACCCCTACCCCGGATATCCAATTGATCTCTCTACAACACGTTTGGCCCTTGTCGGCGCAGTTGAAGTTATTGATGTCAAGAAAATGGTATCCACCAGCCGACTCTATCACATATTTGCATCCAGAGTCGCCGAGCACCGCAAAATCTCGGTGGCCCTCGTTGTACGGTTTGACAGGGTCTGAAGGACGAGAATAGCGCATTCTCAAAGCCCACAGGACTGCGAGTGGCTTCTCTTGAATGCTGATTGATTGTAGCCAGATTCTCGAGAAAACTTTGACTTCTGAGCCCCGAGGCTTTTGGTCGATGGCCTGGACTTCGACAAGGTGCTTTCTCTCGGGCGGTCGACCTTCCGATACCATCGACAAGACAATGAACTCCAAAATAGAACATCTTGACCTCTACACGACCGAATTTTGTCCTCATTCCTTTTGAAGCGGCTTCGCTGGCGGAATGATGAGGTGAAGGACCCGGGTGCCGTGCTCTGACGAGCATATGCGCATTTTGTCTCGCATGCCGGAGAACGGCTACCATGGACGAGGAAGGTCAGTTTGACGACTGCGGTGCACCTCGCATTTCGTGCATCCTCGAACAGCATCCTGAAGACTCTATAATCAGGTTACTAGAAGACGGAGGACCACGACTACAACGGGAGAATTGGCCATGACCCCAAGTGGTTGATATCTCCTTTTTCGTCGTTGCATGGCCCGTGTGGAACAGGCTGAAGAGCAAGGGGCAGTTAAAATTGAATTGCGCCATGTTGCGACACGACTTCATGCAATGAAGGTGCTCTTCACGGACTGTAGGACCAGCTTCGCGCCCGAGAATTGGGTAAGTCTCTCTATGGTGATGCTGACTATCGAACAGTGCTATGGCGATGTCTACTTCCATCTCAATGCGGAGCAACGTTGACCTTGTCGCCGCGCATTGGTCCCGTCCCTTGACACATCGCATTGTACTCTCATCAGTGTCCTCGACCATGATATCAGTTAAGAAAGAGCCAACACATCTGTCCACGGCGACTGTGAGCACCATCAAGAGAAAGTGAAGGACACGTGCTTCGATATCCACATATGTGCCCAGCCTGGAGTCCAAGGGGGTTGTTGATGCCCATTGGAATGCGGTCCGTGTACGTCTCGTCCAAACACTCGAGCAATCACAAAACCCATGACCTTGATCAACCTTTTACACACCTGGACTTCCCATCCTTGATTGAAGATCCCGATCTGTTTTTTTTTTTTTTGCGACCTGACCACAGTCACTCATTTACCTCCCCTGGCTATTTCCAGCAAGTTTTAGTCGTTTCCTTTGCTCACACACACGATGCGAGCATTCGTTCCCTCCCTTCTCGTTGCAGGCGCGACAGCGCAGAGCATCAGCTTCGTCTATACCGCGACGTTTACCGAGACGGCCTTTGCCTTTGTCACCATCACGACATGCCCGTGCCCGACGAGCACGACGGGCTTGTCGACCCTGCAAACGACGACTCCCTTGACGACAACAACAGCGACAACGTCTGCGACCACTACCACGACCACGACCACGACCATTAGTGGCCCGATCCTGCCTCCCGACACCATCACGTCAGCCTCGTCGACCATCACCACCTTGCCCGGGTCCAACACCCCTGGAAGTTCCATCTCGACCCTGTCCACGATGACGACGACTTCGTCTTCGGGAATCCCCGTCGTGACCAACGACGCTTACATCAACGCCGTCCTGCGCCACCACAACATCCACCGGACCAACCACTCGGCGGATCCGCTCGTGTGGTCATCGAGCCTGGCCGACACGGCTCGACTGATTGCCGAGACGTGTGTCTATGGACATGACACGTAAAGAAAACCCCCCCCCCTCCTCTTCCTCCTAATCATATCCCATATACATCCCATGCTCTTTTCCCTTGACCTCCCCCCCTTCCTCCTTCTTAACTAACATCCCCTTCTCTCTTTGGGGAAAACAGAACCATCAACGGCGGCGGCTACGGCCAGAACATCGGGGCCGGCTACCCGGGCACACCGCTGGGCATGGGTCAATTCGTCACCGAGGGCCTCTACAACAGCGAAGTGAACAACTACGTCGCGTACGGGACGGAGCCGGACGTCAGCACCGTCGGCCTGTGGGGCCACTTCACCCAGATCGTGTGGAAGGCCAGTGCCGCCGTGGGATGCTACACGGCCGACTGCACCGGCAGCAGTGGGGGACTGGTCAACGCGGGGCCCCCGATCTCGCCCTTCTTCACCGTCTGTAATTACGCGCCGGCCGGTGAGTATAACCTGTCCATATCTACCTACATATCCACGAGCCTACCTGCCTGCCTGCCTGCCTGCCTGCCTGTGCCTGGCTACGTGCCTGTAAACTATGTAGTATCGAGAAAACCAAACCCCCTTCCCCTTCCCTCTTCCCACCAGTCCCAGTCCCCAGCGGATCTGGTTCCTAGCGAATATTCGACTCGAGCTAATGTTCCCTCGATTACCGTCAAACAGGAAATCTCATCGGATCGTTCGCCCAGAATGTCGGCGTGTCGATCGGTCTGCCGACAGTATTTGGGGATTATTGATCCTCTGAAAAACACGCCGAGGAGTGGGGAGGAGGAGAGGGAAGAGGAGGAAGAGGAGTGACTGCCTGCTGTGGTCGTGGGAACTGATTTCTTAACAATTAATTAATTGATTGATTGATTGCTCGCTTGCTCACCTGACTCAATATCCAGACTCATACGAAAAAGATCTTGATAGCGTTACATCCTGGTCTTCGCGACTCATCACATCGTCAATATCCTTATCCTGTCCCTTATCCACCCCGCGTACTTTGGACATGTCCTTGGATGACTCGTGATAGCGGCGTTCCCTGTCTTGATCTTTCTCAGCCACGGCTGCCATGTCCACCACAGGTCCCTCTTCAAGGGGCGGCTTTTCGTCTTCTCCCATAACACACCCCCCATTCTCACCAGAGCTCTCCCGGGCCGACTTTGCCTCCTTCAGCTCCCGCGCCCGAGTCTCTCGTTCTCTTCTCTCGTCTCTCCATTTCATGCCCCGGAAATACACCACCCAAAGCATCGGCGACGTCCCAATTAGACCCAAACTCAAAAAGGTAAAGGTCCAGCCTCTCCCCCAGGCATCAATCATGGGTATCACGGCAGCCGTGGCGCCTGCCCCCAGGCCGCACCTCGTTAGGTTGTTCGCTGCCGTTGCCGTGGCAGGCGCTCTAGGATAGAAATCGACTAAGAGTGTGCTGGTCACGTTGAACGCGATCGACATGCTGAAACTCGTGAAGAAGAGGACGACGAGCAGTGCCGGGAGTGGCCCATTCACATCCAAGATCCAGCCAAACGCAAGCACCAGCACTGACGTGAAGTAGACGGCAGGAATGGCAACCTGCAACCTCACCTTTTCAATCGGGAAATTGCTGAGGTCCTGGTTTCGCCCCTTACGAATCTTCACTCCAAGTTTCTTGCACCAACGGGCGAAATTGCGGTCCAATAGTTGTCCATTTGTGAGGGCAGCACAGAGGGATCCACAGCCGAAAGGAATAAAGCACAAGCCGATCTGAAGTTCGTTGAAGCCAAATATCGCTTGCAGCTGGGATGGTAAGGATGCTGTGACGTCGTAAAAAGCTGCAAACAAGAACGCGTTGTAGAAGAGAAGCAGTGCATTCTCCTTGTCCATGATGATGTAAAGAGATCGCAGCGGGTTGGGGAAACGCAACTTCTTTTTCCTCCGCGTCTCGTTTTGAGGCTGTTCGTCTTTCACCGACATCTGGTCCTGAGGACGCAGCTTCCGAGCTTTGCGGATTGCCAGGTAATTCATCAGAGACATATTCCAGCCTTTTGGTGGGATTGACCCGTTGCCGACCTGAGTGCGAGCTATTCAGGCGGTCAGTAGATCAGTACGATCTTTCTTCAATCATGCAGCGTACCTGTCTCGGGAAAGAAGATTGCGAAAACGACCATGAACGCAGAGCCCATAATCATCAAAAACCAGAAGATGGCCCTCCATCCCAGAAATTCAGCGAGCACACCTCCAATGACGGGACCTATAGCTGGACCAAGCAGAGATCCCGCAAGAGTAAATCCCATATATCTGCCTCTTTCTGCCGCAGTGGCAACATCGGACACAACAGCGCTACACATAGCAATTGTGGCGCTAGAACCGGTGCTCTGGAAACAGCGCAAGACAAACAGCGCCGCATAACTGTTCTGAAGTGCAAGGCCAATGTTGGCGAGAATGTATATAGTAAAACAAACTATTTTGCGAATTAGTGGAAGCTTGAGCCCGGAGACCAATGTTCATACCGGCATACGCGGGACGCCGACCTGCAGCATCAGCGAGATCTCCAACAAATGTAGGGGCAAGGCCTTGGAAGATCTGGTAACGAGGGTCAAGTCAACTTCCAGCGCGACCGGTCTACGGGGGGGGAGAAGATAGCGTACCATGTAAGAGGTCAGAGTCAAGTTAATCAATGAATCGGAAACATGCAAATCTTTCGCTAATGCATTCAGAGCTGGGAAATAGATCTGTCCGGATACAGGAGAAAAGAACCCAGCCCACGACGCCATAAACACTATGAATAGTTTTTGATTCCTTGTAAAGACCGAATGGACTGGTCCACCAGCAGTATCGGTGGCTGTTCTTTCGACCTGGACGGTATCTGGTAGCTCATCTCGAGTGGTGGGTATCCTCTCGAGGGGGCCATGGTCATTGGATTCGGATGCTTCACTTTGCGACGGTGATAGCCGCGTCTCGGCGCATGGAATAACGCTTTGTAGGTCTTGGTGTTTATGAGACCCTGATGAAAGGCTCTTGTCTCCTAACGGTGCTTGGACCTGTGAGCCATGCTGATCCGTATCAAAGGAGCCTCTCGACATCAAGTCCAGCCTGCGTGCTCGGTGCGAGCAAGAAGAATATCTGCCAATGCTTGTCTCGTGGGTTCGGTGGGGTCGATCGGGTATCTCGACTGTTACTCTAGGCCTTGCCTATCGCCCTCGAGTGATCGTGGGTCAGTCTCTTGGCGATGGATCTATATTGCTTGTAGACCAAGAGTCCAAGAACGCCGAGACAGAGAGGGAGAGAGGAATGAGAGGGAAAAGAGATCCAGAACTCTCCCATAGCATCATAGTGGCAGATAAAAGGGTTGACAAGGACAGAGGAAAAGGTAGAAGGGACATTAGCCGGTCGCGGAGGCCCGTCAAATTCCTCGCCATGTATTGGCTCACTGGTCAGCTAGTTGGGCGGGATACCCAACCGCAGCCCTAGCGGGACTGCAGCAGATTTTGGGCTCCGTGGTTGATGCAATGATAGATTCATGATGATATGGTGGTACTGAGGAGTGGGAATTGGTGAGAGAGGAGGTCCCGATGAGAAATTCCTGTCATTATCGTCATTCTGCACGTGAACGAACCATTGTGCACCAGAATGAGAATGTTGGGGGTTGTCATTACAAGATTATGACTCGCTGTGGGGGTGCAATGGGGGTAGTGGGGGGTTGCCTCAGGTTTGCCGCTTGAGCCGATCAGCCGGACAGACTCCGATTCTGCAATCTCTGCCACCTCTCACACACCCGCTGCCCGAGAATAGGCATTCTGTGGTCCTCCCTGACGCCTACGGGGGTCCCTCCCACCGCCTCTTCTCCAATTCTACAGCCTTTCTCACTTGTATCTCCACACGCGCGTTCTGCCCGCTCACCGCCCTCGCTGCGCTCATCGGCGCGTCGACGCCGATGTTCGCAATTGCCAACACACCTCCAACACAGCTCCGCAACAACCCCGGGCTGTCCACTATGTGAAGCCTCGCAAATGAATGCAGAGACCTCATTCTGATCCTCGTCCTCGTCCTGGTCCTGAACTGCAGAAGCATCATGCTGGTGGACCCACTGTCGCAGGCTTGACCACCAAACAGCCTGCGGAAGAGAGCAGAGATTTGACCTTTTACCCAGCCTATGCCTTCAAGGCGTCTGCAACCTGGTCGAAATGGGTGAAACTGACCTGTCTTGACATCCACACCGTGTTGGAACGCCATGAGAAGTTTTCTCAGGTCACTACCCCCCTAGCGGCTGAAGGTAGCGACATCCACGGCCGACAGAAGGACCCGCCGTTACTCCTCTTCTACCTCAACCATCCCATCCAATTTGTTCAGGTGGTTGGTGTAGTGGTCTCACTGGAGGACTACTTTGAGAAGTTCTGGCTTTTCAAGATTGATGATAGCAGCGGAGCCGTCATCGATGTGACATGTCCCAAACCAGAGAAGAAGCAAGCCGATCTGAACACCGGACCAGGCAACACAGGGCCTAGGCGCGCAACAGGAGCTGTGAAGCCGGTGGACCAAAATCCAACTTCGAAACCAACGTCCCATCCCAACTCGGGAGAAGATGAAGAAATCGATGAAGACGCACAGCTTCAACGCACCCTGTCGTTTCTCGATATCGGATCCACCGTGCAAGCCAAAGGCACCCTCTCTACATTCCGCTCCACGCGGCAACTCTCCCTCCTGCGTCTGAATATACTCTTCACCACAAACCATGAAATGGCATTGATCGCCTCACGCACACAATTCCTCCTGTCGACTCTCTCTAGACCCTGGGTATTGACACGGGAGCAACAGAGGAAACTGCGCGACGACGCACACCGCGAGCGGAACGACGACATTGATCGGGCCAAGAGGAGGAAGACGCGGGAGGCAAAAAGAAAAGAGAGAGAGGAAAGGCACCGACATGTCATTGAGAAGGAGTATGACATGGAAGAAATACTGAGAAAGAAGGAGGGGGACGAGGCTCGAAAATGGGGACAAGCGCTCAAAAGGGACCAAGCGAAGAACATCACGTCTGCAAATTGAATTGATGGGATCCGTCTTACGTCCGGGTTTCCTTGCTGGTTTGAGCAGTAGTGTTTATTCCGAGTATCGCATAGTTAAAAAGCACTGCTGTCAGGCATGAAGAGTTCTGGCTCTGTCTCAGCCTAGTAACACCACCACTATCTCCAATGGCCAAAGTAGCATAGTAGCAGAGGACCGAAACCCCGAACATTTAAAACGAAAAAGTTTTGAATATTCGTCAATGTACAGTACAAGAAGGCACCATCCACCAAGCTCTCCTCCTGTGAACCATGGATGCCGCTCGACGCTGATCGACTGTTGTTGTTGATGACGACCATGTCGCCGATGAGCTGGAACCCAACAGCTCGACCTGAACCTCGTCCAGCTCAAGGAAATATGCCCGCCCTCCTTCTGACGATTGAGTAGTTGCGATCGAGAGAGGTCGAGCTGCTTCCCTTACCTTTGGTCTCTTCTCAACTATGCCATCCTCGCTTGACGAACAGCTCTCCACGGCACGTCTATTTGCGGTTTTCCACCATTACTCCACCAAGCCGTAGCGTGATTCCAACCAACCAGTAGATGGAAGACCTCTCCCCGATTTCTCAAATCAACCCTATGCATAATGAATTCTTTTGAGTAGAAACACACTCTCTATCCCGCGTTTCCGCGTGCTCGAATCGAAGGCTCGAAGTGCGATTCTCAGATCCATGGTTGCCAAAATCTGCTGTGATCTTGCATGGACGAGAATCGGGAGAAAAACAAACGGACCGCTTTTTCGTGGCGCTGTAAATGCTAAACAGGTGGCTTTGCTCACG